TGCGTTACGTTGCTATTGTATAAGTTGTTACTGCTCATATTAGCTTTGTTTTAAAAATAATTAAGATGACAATCGATCCGGCTAAGTCGATTCCTGCATTTTACGCTGGACAAAGTATATTGTTGACAGGCGCGACAGGATTTCTGGGTAAAGTGTTTATCGAAAAAGTATTGCGATCTTGTCCAGATGTTCGTGAAATATTCTTGCTGATACGTCCAAAAAAGGGATTTACTATCAAGGAAAGGCTCAAAGAAATATTAAACTTAGCGGTAAGATAGATATAGAAAGAGAAAATTTTTGTAATAACGCACAATTCTTTAAGAAATTTTTAGATTTTTAAGATGTTACATCACTTAATATAGCACTTAAAATGTATAGTAAAAAGAACTTTTTTCTAAGGGCTATTGTAACGTCATTATTAAAGAATGCTATATTTTGGACATAAACATTTTGTGAATAGTATGTAATAAAAAATTGGAATGCATTTAGAGTAAAATGTGTTGTGAATGCCATTAAGTACACATTTTGTTCTTATATTATAAATTTATTCAAAATGTAGAATTAGAAATTATTGTAATTATTCTAACAGAAACGTTTTTATAAATTATAACATTCTTTTATTTTAGTTATATGAAAGACTGCGCGAAGAACAAATTTCTATTTTCGAGAAGTTAATTCCGATTTCTGGCAATGTTAGTGAGAAAGAATTAGGTTTGTCGGATGCGGACAGACAAATGTTGATTGAAAGAGTGACAATAATAATACATGGAGCGGCAAGTGTGAGATTCAATGACAGTTTAAAACATGCTATACTTTCCAACACTAGAGCAACAAGAGACATTTGTATTTTAGCTCAATGTATGAAGAATTTAAAAGTAAGTAATTTTCACTCAAACAGAGTAACAGAGAGATCGCGCATTTGTATTCATGAATAATTTCACGTAATTTATTGCACTACGTGATACATTTTACGTAATGTTTTACACACAACGTTACTTATCTCAGTCATAAATTTTCTCCTAAATATTTATTATGGCGTATTTTTAAATTTAATAACAATTTAAACAGGATAAATTTGGAAGAGTGTGGACATGATTAAAACATCATGATGTATCAGTGTCTATAGTATAAATTAAATATATCTTGTTATTATACAAACTTTCTTAAACTGCAGGAAATTAAAAAAAAATTCCTCTTTTTTATTAAAGGCATTAGTGTATGTTAGTACAGCATTCGCACACGTGAATAATGCATTTATTGAAGAAAAAATGTACCCACCTATAGCTGATTGGCGGAAAATGATAGAGATCGCGGAGTCATTGGATGAACATACTTTAAATATTTTTACAGCTAAGTAAGTAATAAGTTAAAAACTAATAATCGTGTTTATAAAATTTATATAATTATAGATGTTTTCTTAGAACCATTATTTTATATTATTATAGTTATCTATTTGTGTTTTAAAAACTATTCTATTATTCATCGTACTTCTAATAAAATAATATCCAAATTTTTAATTTTGTGTACATTTGAAATTATGTATAGATGTTTGGATTACGCTCCGAACACGTATATTTTTTCGAAGAACCTAGCGGAAAGTGTAGTACAAGATTATTCTTTCTCTTTTCCTTGCGCGATTGTAAGACCTTCCTTAGGTACGTAGCCTTATTTTTCCTAACAATAAGTATTAGAACTAAATTTTTGTTTTAACGCCTTATTATTGTGCATGCTAAATATTTGTATCCGTTATTTTGTGTTACAGTATCTCAAAATAAAATATTTAATAGAATGCAGGGTGTCCGGCAATTTTTTACATAGCCGTAGTATGAAGGTGGATTGGCTTAAATTTAAAGGAAATATCATGTATTATTTTGCAAAATTTGCTATAATTATTGAATAATTAGTTAAACTGTCCGAAACAATGTGCTCGTGGAAAGCAGTAGGTAAGCCAAACTCGGTAGGTATAGGCATGTATATAAAATGACTTACTTGTTAGATCTCTTAGCCACGGCATTGTACATACGTCACGCGTCGCTCGCCGTTCGCTGCGTGATATTATTTCTCGCTATAAGATGATGCTCTTCGTTGTTAAGAGGTTTAACAAGAGTAAGCCATTTTACCTACATGTCTATACCGAGTCTAATCTACCGCTTTCCACGCGCATAAATGCAGAATAAACAGTGACACACGGGCAATAAACGCAGAGTTTCCATCACGTTGAAATTTCTGTGCCTATATTGCCTGTTGCCAACCACTCATAGCATTCAAATTTTTTAGGTTATAATTAAAAAATTTTTGGTTATTTCCTGTTCCTATTGCCTGTTGCCTGTTGCCTGACAATGGCTGCGTTCAGCAGACACAACTGTTGAGTGTCGTCTTCTCAACACTCTACGTTAATTTGTTGGGTCTAAAAGCTTGAGCCAATCATGTTCGATTGCTACTGAGTGGTTTGTTCTACTAAACGCGCCCATTGTGCAAGGGTCTTAACGCGCGCGCTCCCCGAACGGGCCTTAAGCCCGAACTACATCTATCCTAGGCTGCATTCGGGGAGCGCGCTATTAGCGCTATTTGCTTATTCTATCCTTGTTTTACATTTAATGAGCGATAAAGATAGAATGATACAATAGCGCTAATAGCACGCTCTCCGAATGCAGCCCTAATGTTTACCGTAAGCGATTGTAAAGAGCCACCGCACAAGACTCTCGTATGGTCACGTAGCGTAACTTAACGTGAGGCAACGCACAAGAAACGTATTGGTTACGGCCGTTACGGCGTTATACGTTTTTTGTGCATTGATCTACGTTACGTTACCATGCGAGAGCTTGTGCGGAGGCTCTAACCAATACGTTTCTTGTGCGTTGACTCACGTTACGTTACGCTACGTGACGAGAGTCTTTTGCGGTGGCTCCAAAGCAAGGCACACCCACTTTTCGTAACAGTAACAGTAAAGTTTTGACCAATTGCGTTGCTCAATTCTTACTTCTACGGTTAAAGACGGCCGAATCGAGCAGCAACGCGATTGGTCGAAACCTTATTGTTACGTTCTACAAAAAGTGAGTGTGCCCTGCTTAACGCTCGTTGTAAGTACCAGATAAAATAACCAGAGTTGGGTTATTACGTCACATGCTGAAATCGTCTAATTAGAACCTAGAAGTAGAGCTTGTGACGTCATAACTCAACTCGAGTTGGCTTGAAACCCGACCCAGTCGAAAATGCTATAAAGCCACCGGCACACGGATCATGTTTTCCGGCTGGATTGCTTGCACAAATACCTCGTACCTGAGGTAGAGCGCCGCACACTTTGTTTACGATTGTCAGGCTAAAATCTAAAAAACTATTTTAAAAACCCGAAGATAGAACATCGCGATAAATAATCTCTAGATATCGTGACAAAATCACCTGCAAAACCCTGTCTCAATCGGAAGGGCGGTTCATTCAGAAGTACAGCCCTCTGAACTAGTGTAGCCAATTCAGCAATAGAAACCGGACCTCATGTGTGCAATGTTGCTTGTGCGCAATAGTGTCGTGTGTGCATTCGTCTCCTAATTTTTTATTTGTGCGCAATAGAGCTTGTAGGCAATCGATCTGTGGGCAATAATATTATGTGTGCAATGCGGCTTGTGTGCAATAGTATCTTGTGTGCAAACGTCCATTCTTCTCTTAATTTTTTAATTGTGCGCAATAGTGCTTGTAGGCAATCTATCTGTAGGCAATAATATTATGTGTGCAATGC